CAGTAAATTGTCTTAAGTAGACTAAATCATACAATTACTGAATTCGAAACGTACGGTCATCTGTTTCTAAACGAGATTAGAAGTGATTTGCTTTTCAAAAGTTGGTACTTAACCTATCCCATAACACTTCCACAAAAGACACATTCGACCGCGACCTACTGAGTAGTCTTTGATTTTTCGTCGAGAGCTGATGAACGACTCAATCCTTCTTGTCCAACCTTTTATGACTTTTTTGTGAACGTAATCCCGGAATTACAGTGCAGTATTGCTTACGTACACCTCGGGGTACCAATTCCAAAGTACTTATTCAATTTCACCTATCTAAGCTGAAATTATCCAATTTGAAGCAACCACTGAAGGTTCTGCAAATTCACCTGACAGTTATCTTTGAACATATCTTAATATTGCACAGACAAATTTTAACAAAGTCATCTGCAAAACTAATGTAGGGTACCGGTTCCAGAATCGTACTTCCTGCTGAAAAATTCAACTTTGAAGCAACTACACAAGTTTGTATAAATCCACCTGACCGTTCTTCTTTAACATATCTCCATAACTTACTCATGAGTTCTTATCGATTGAATCGCAGAACTGATGTATGGGTATTGATTCCAAGCACTTATCTGATGTCATTGTTTGTACAAGAAAAAGTGGGAGGTTAACGGAGTAACTGATGTTGTCCCTATATGTGTTTACGTGGATGCCGGTTCTAGACTTTCGGCTATCAATGAAGCAAAGGCTAAATTATCAGAACGCTCCAAAATGAAAGACCTTGGTAAAGCCCATTATTTACTTAAAATGGAAATTAGAAGATATAAAGCACGAACGCAGCCAGTCTCTTGCAACACAAGTATATATAGGTTTATTAGACAAGTTCGAGACGACAGACTGCACAACTGTGGTAACTTCACAAGCCACAAGTATTGTTTTAGAAAAGGAAAAGTCGCTTACAGCTCAACAAATAGCAGTGCAGCCATTTGATTACCGTGGACTGGTAGGCTCGCTCATGTATCTTGTTAGAGGTACAAGGCCAGATATTGCTAATGCAGTAAGATAATTAAGTAAGTGCCGTGGCATAGATTAGGAATGCCCATGTAAGACTCCTTTTTGCAACGAGAAATACCTAACGTATCAGAACTCGTGAAGCACCCCATACCAGATTCTGGGTGCCTGCTTCAGTCGGTACAGGCTTTTGAGTAACTTACACACTTCGCCATTATGGCGGTTTCTAAGCCCTTCTGGTGGAATCATATAAATTTCCTCCAATAAATATCCATTCAGGAACGCTATGGAGACATCCATTTGGTGGATGTATTAATTCTCAATTGTTGCAAGTGCTAAAACTAATCGCAAAGACTCATATCAGGCAACGGGTGAGAATATTCACCGTAATCAATCCCGAAATGTTGGTGATTCCCTCTTACAACTAATCTTGCCTTGAACCGATCCACAGATCCATCGGTATGGTATTTTACATATTATACCCAATGACACCCTAATGCCTTCCTTCTTTTTGGTAAATCTACCATTTGTCATGCCTTATTGGCCAGTAGTGTCTGGTATTCAGCCTCGAGTGCACCCAGCCATAATTCCCGGTATGACCCTGCTATCGCCTTCTTTAATGAAGTCGAAATCGGAATGCGGGTTCTGCTAACTCTAACACCTAATATCGAATTAATAGTGACTTTGTACCCACTTAACCGCGGATTTCGTTGCCTTTTGCGCTGAGAGCACGGTCGTATCTCAACAAAGTCATCATCTTTTCTAACTTTTTATTCCGAAATAGGTAACCTTGGTGGTTCTCCCATGGCCCTGGGCGAGTGTATGTCATCCTGACTGATCGGTGACTCATCATACCTTATTCGATCGTAATCAGCTCCCACAGTTACACTATGTTGCACTATCTCCCACAATTGGGGGACTGGGAATCGAGCTATCGACATTGTGGTACATACTACCTGTACAGGTCATTGTATCTTCTGTCTCAGCAGTAGTTAATTGGTGATTTCGTTTGGGAAAAGACCTGCTTATCGCTGCTAACTGATCGGTCATGTCAAACCGTACACTACGTGACACCAAAAGCATATTGTTGACTGTATCCAGCAGACGACAGCCTTATAGTCTTCCGAAATCCCAAGAAATTTGCATTTTAGACCTCTTGACCCTAGCTTTTTATCTGTCCCTTTTGTACTAGGTATATGGGAAAAGCATGTGCTACCCCATATCTGAAGAATATTACCGTCAGGTTTCTTACCATGAATTGCCTCATATGGTGATCTGTTGTCAAGTCTAGACGTTGGCATCCCATTCGACACTTGCATATTTAATCGCTTCTGGCCACCAGCGGGCTGGTATGGCTGCTGTTAAAACCGAATTTCTAAGCTGTCTCATCAGTGTTTGATGACATCTCTCAGCACTACCGTTCTCTTCCTGACTTTTTACATTCGATTTCTCAAATAATATTTATTTGGCTGGAGGAACGTTGTCATTTTCTGATTAACGAATTTAGTACCACCATCACTTCTAATTATTTTTACTGTGTACTGTTCAAATTGCTTTTTGAGTAGCAAAATCAAATTTACATAATGTGTGTACACTTCTTTTGTTGATTTCATCACATAAATTCACTTATAAGATGTAGCATCGTCTACAATTGCTAATGTATAGTGATATCCAGTTCCTCCATATGTTCCATTCACTTTTATCTTTTCCATAGTGTCCATGTGCAAGGTATGCAATGGCTATTTAACACGCGACCCAATAAGATTGGTATTCCTCTAACCAATTAATGAGCAAAAATTGTCATTAGTCTGGCCTTGAGTGCATGACCTAATCTGAGGTGCTACTTTTCCATCAAAGCAATTCTCTGTTCATTAAAATATGTCTTGCTCACTGCATTGACCTTACTATGGTTGGAAGAAGGCAGATAGTACACCGCTCTCTTTTGTACTGCTGCAAATAGGAGCTGGCCATTATAGCTGAACACGTACAGAAACTCCCCATCCCGAGATTGCATGTGATTATACCCTTGTTTACCAAATGGCATGCGCTAATTAAAGTACTCTCGCATTGACGGTCAAACGCAATGTTTCTTATCATCAAACGTAATGACTTATGAGATGGGACTGCAACATGCATTTGTATTGAACCAATTAAAGTAGTATCTGAATTACTACCATTACCATTCTCAAAACTGTGGCTGATGCCTTTCTGTAGCCTCTCGAACCAACTTTTGTCAGAGCTTATGCCGCATCCAGGTCCTGTATCAACAATCCACAGATCATTCGAAACGGTTAGTTGACGTAACCAGCTTAAATATGAACCATATTTTGTACGTTCAATTGGGTTCACTTGTCCGAAAGACAAAAGACATCCCCCGTTGTCCATCTCCGAGTCACTTTTCTCGGTCTCTGACATCTTGAATTCCTCATCCATTTTGACACCCCTTGGTGGTTCGTGGGTCGCCCTTGGCTTCTTAGTCACATGCTGAACCGTGGCAATCTTTTTGGCGGTGCTTGGAGTTCCTTTCGACAGTTGAGTCTGGATGTCGGTCCAAAACATGGGTCTACCCTGCCATCACGCGCTCACACTGGGCCTTCTGATGCCCTTCGCTGAAGCAGTAAAACACCCTTGACCTTGAACACTGGAGTTGATATCCGACTTACGCTTCTTGGTGGCTGATGCGGGTCACCAAACCGGTCCATTCTGACCGACAATCGCTTTCTTGGACTTGTCAACGAACAGATTATTCAGGGTGATCTCCACCTTGTCTGCCATGAACGATTCCTTCGTCAACTCGATCGATGATGCCCAAATCTCACAGGGAAGTTGCTCCAAAACTAGCACGCATATCATCGTCTCCTTCATCATCTCCGTTTCGAGGACCTTCTTCGCCTTCCGATTCATCTCATTTCGCGCTTGATTCAGCTGCGAGAACAGGTGTCCTTCCGATTCGAGTTGAGAATTCGATTCCACCGGTTCGTCAGCGACACAAATCCACCAGCGTTACCGAGCCCAAAATACGCCTAAGGTGTTGCCAAATCACGCACACCTCCAAGTATCTAACGTCATCTGGCAAGGACAACATAAACGCGTTTGTTAGAGTCGTGTTGAGAACATGGCGCATGGCGGCCTTTCGCCACACCATGATCTCTCTTCGCATAGCTTTCCGCTCTTTCTCTGGAGCTGCCTTGACGTCCTCATTCAATAGACGTGGTGGTGTTGACTCCAGGAAGTCCCTCATGCCAACATTTGGTTCAGGAAGACCTTTCTCGAAGAGCTCGTTCTCAACACCCAGGTCTAATCTCACCACGTGCGTGAGTAGCTTGTACTTCCAACTAGTGTACTCAACTTGCTGACCGGAGAACTTCTCCAGGCCAACGCGCGCGGTCTTCTCTTGTTGCTTCATGTTAGTCATCCGTAGTATCTGAAATGTTGTTATCTTGAGCGTAGTTACAGTAGGTGGTGTAGTTAACCGTCAGACGGAGCGACTAATTCAAAAGTGAATACCGTCCTCAGCTCTTCAT